ACCTCTGCCTCCTGCATTCAAGCAGTTCTTGTGCATCAGCCTTTTGAGTTGCTGGGATTATAGGTGCACACCACCACGCCCAGCTAATTTTTGTATTTTTAGTAGAGTTGGTATTTCACCATGTTGGCTAGGCTGCTCTTGAACTCTTGACGTCAGATGATCCACCCAAAGTGCTAGGATTACAGGTGTGAGCTACTAGGCCCAGCCTGGTTTTGCTTTTGAGACGGTCTTGCTCTGTTGCCCAGGGCTGAAGGCAGTGATAAAATCAAAGCTTACTGCAGCCTCTACCTCCTGGGCTCAAGCGATTCTCCCACCTTAGCTTTCCAAGTAGCTGGGACCACAGGTACATGCCACCACACCTGGCTAATTCTTGCTTTTGTAGATATGGGGTTTTGCTGTTTTGCCTGGGCTGGTCTCGTAGTGCTGGGCTCAAGTGATCTGCCTGACTCGACCTCCCAGAATGTTGGGATTACAGGCGTGAGCCACCGTGCCTGGCCTGCAGCTTCTTTCTCCTGAATGTTGAGTGAAGAAGAACTTGGAGCCAAGTGCAGTGGTTCAAGACCAGCCCGGGCAACATGGCAAAACCCTGACTCTAGACAAAATATAAGAATTAGATTAGTGCGGTGGTGTGTGCCTGTAGTCTCAGCTTCTTGTAAAGCTAACGCGGAGGTTGCTTGAGCTTGAGAGCCAAGACTGCACCACTGCACTCCATTCAACCTGGATGACCGAGTAAGATCTGTCTCAAAAAGAAAAAAGAAAGAAAAACTTAGTTATATTTTGTGTACTCAGGGATTTCTTGAACAGGTAGTCTCTGCTTTTTAGGGTGTTACATTCATAAAAAATTTCCTCATAGCCAGGCGTGGTGGCTCACGCCTGTAATCTCAGCACTTTGGGAGGCTGAGGCAGGTGGATCACCTGAGGTTATGAGTTCAAGACCAGCCTGGCCAACATGGTGAAACCCTGTCTTTAAAAAAAGAAAAAAAAAAAAACAACTTCCTCATAAAAGCAGGTGTTTTAAAGCAAGTGGTGTTTTCCCACAGGAAAAATGCCATATTTGGGTGTTAACTTCCTGAACAAGGCCTTGGCATCAAATAAATCATGGATGGGACCAATAATATGTCATAAAATCAACAATACAATAACAAACCTCCATAGTCATTAAAAACATTAAATTATGCTCCAGGTCCAGTAAAATCGGCATGAATGTTGTATAAGAAAAATGCATGTGGTCACAGGAACACAGTTTTCTGAGTCTATTATATAATAAATATTAACACTATTTGTACTCTTAGATTTGGAGAGGAAAGAACTGGATAGCCTAAGTCTTTGAAAATGTTCAAGGAAGTCTTTAGTGGATGCTTTTTCCCACTGCAGATTTCCTGGGAGTAAACCTGGAGGTGGATAAAACATTGGGGCCCAGTCATTGTTGTTATTGGAGGTGGTGAGAATGTGGTGTGTTTTTCCCTGAAAAGCAATTTTTTTTTCTTGAGACAGAGTCTTGCTTTGTTGCCCAGGAGTGCAGTGGCGCAATCTCGGCTCACTGCAGCCTCTGCCTCCCGGGTTCAAGCAATTCTTTTGCCTCAGCCTCCTGAGTGGCTGGGATTACAGGCCATCACTGCCACTCCCTGCTAATTATATATTTTTAATAGAGACGGGATTTTACTTTGTTGGCCAGGCTGGTCTTGATCTCCTGACCTGCCTTGTCCTCCCAAAGTGTTGGGATTACAGGTATGAGCCTGGCCTTTTTTTTTTTTTTTTTTTTTAAAAAAAAAGAGACAGGGTCTCACTGTAACTACCTAGGCTGGAGTGATCTTGGCTTGCTGCAGCCTTAACCTCACCAGGCTTAGGTGGTTCTCCCACCTTTAGCCTCCTGAGTGGTGGGGACTACAGACATGCATCACCACGTCTGGCTAATTTTTTGGTATTTTTTGTAGAGACAGTTTTGCCATGTTGCCAGGTTGGTCTTGAACTCCTGGGCCCAGGTAATCCCGATCCCCCACAGTGCTGGGATTATTGGCATGAGCCCCTGCGCCTGGCCTCTGAAAAGCATTTTCTTTTTAAGACAGAGTCTCGCTCTGTCGGCCAGGCTGGAGTGCAGTGGCGCGATCTCACCCCACTGCAACCTCTGCCCCCTGTGTTCAAGCAGTTCTCTTGCCTCAGTTTCGAGAGTATCTGGGACTACAGGCGCATTCTGCCACACCCAGCTAAGTTTTTGTATTTTTTTTTACTAGAAACAGGGTTTTACCGTGTTGCCCGGCTGGTTTCGAACTCCTGAGCTCCGCCTGCCTCCACCTCCCAAGGTGCTGGGATTACAGGTGTGAGCCACTGTGCCTGGCCTCTGAAAAGCATTTTTAAATGAAGGGACTGATGCATAATTTCTCCTTCTATTTTGAGTTTCTTCAAAGCTCTGCTTGTCAGCTGAAATAAAGGTGAAAAAATGAAGCCAGCAAACTCCACTCTTAACTGAAAAGCCAGGCATTAGTTGTTGGATCATTAGGCCTGCTTTCTAGGAGAGGATCTTCAGATGTTCTCTTTGGGGTGTCCAAGTTGGCATAGTCTTGGAAGAGTGTGGACAAATGGTGTGGCCGAAAGAGTACTGGGTGTGGGGTCAGAAGACCTGGTCCAGCCTGGCTGTGCTTACTGCCTGTGCGCCTCTGGATAGGACACTCTGAGCGTTCGCCTCTCTTACCTGTGTTGTGAGCACAAACACCTACCTGGAAGAATCGTAAGGACTGAGCAGGCTCATGTGTGTCATTGTACACAGCACAGGAAGCTTTTGATAAGTAATTGAAATATTGTTTGGTGAAGTGAACATGGAGAATTCTGTCTCTGACCCTTCTTGTCCCTGAAGTAGGGAGCCTGCTTTTGGTGCTACCTAAGCAGAAATGGTTCTAGGAAAGCTGGGAGAAGCAGGGTAGGGCAGTGTGTTTCTCACTCTGCAAATCCTTCCTGGGAGGCCTGAGAGTGGATGGGATTTGGAGTGTGTTGTTGGTGTTGTACCTGGAATCTAATGTGCATCTTGACTGAGAATGCATTGCCGGATCCTGATGACAACAGCATGTTGCTCAGTAACTGAAGTATTGTTTGGACCAAACTGCTGTAGCAAACTTTTCTTGGCAGGTATGCCCTGTTGATACTGAGCCCAATGTGCATTGATAGTTTTACACTGCCTACTACAAAGTAAACACAAGTTCACAGTGACCCTGAGTAAGCCGTGACTCAGAGTATACAGGTACTGTACTACACTCTAGATATTCTAAAGCTGTTATCAAATAAATGTAGTGTTGGGAAAATTACTGCCTGTTACATTACGTTAGTTTCAGTTTTGGTTTTTTTTTTTTTTTTTTTTTTTTTTTTTAGTTTTGGAGTTTTTTTTGTTGTCTCTGGAATTTTTTTTTTTTTTAATGGAGTGTCACTCTGCCGCCCACCCTGGAGTGCAGTGGCTCGATCTCAGCTCATTGCAACCTCCGCCTCTCAGGTTCAAATGATTCTCCTACCTCAGCCCCTCCTGAATAGCTGGGATTACAGGCGTATGTCACCATGCCCAGCTAATTTTTGTACTTTAAGTGGAGACAGGGTTTTGCCATGTTGGCCATGCTGGTCTCCAACTCCTGACCTCAAGTGATCTGCCCACCTTGTCCTCCTAAAATACTGGGATAACAGGTGTGAGCCACTATACCCCACCTGTTCCTGGAACTCTTGTGTCAAGGATACACTAGATTCTTTAGCTAGAAATGGTTCTTTAAGTTCTAACATGCAAACTGGGTCTAAGGAAAAGAAAAAATGATTAAAAAACATAGCAATCCTTTAAATAAGTTTTTTCATAGAACCCACAGAATCTATAGACCTTAGGGATTATCTAGGCTACTCTTCCCTGCCTGTGGAAATTCATACTCAGACATCAAAAAGCATGTCCCATGTTAATGTTGGATACTATCCTCCTGGCCCAGAGAAGTGGCTTATGCCTGTAATCCCAGGTCTTTGGGAGGCTGCGGCAGGCAGATCACAAAGTGAGGAGGTCGAGACCAGCCTGGCCAATATGGTGATACCCTATCTTTACTAAAAATAAATTACCGGGGCGTGGTGGCATACACCTACAGGTCCCAGCTACTCAGGAGGCTGAGGCAGAAAACTCGCTTGAACCCAGGAGGTAGAGGTTGCGGTGAGCTGAGATCGTGCCGCTGTACTATAGCCTGGGCAACAGTAAGACTCTGTCTCAAAAAAAAAAAAGGAAAAACAAAAGAAAGTTATTCTCCTCAGTCCTGTGCTTTTTGTGTTTTTTTCCTCTACATTATACAATCTCCAAATCATACATCATACAATCTATATCATACAATCTACATCATATAATCTTTTTCATATAGTTTGTCATGTTGAAGTAAAGCTAAGTTTAAGAACAAAACAGTATTTTTCCTGTTTTTTTGCACACTGATATGACTATTTAAAAATTAGCAAATGATACTATAGAAACATTGATAACGTAAATTTTTAAGATGCTGTATCTTAGATTTAGTTGGCAAAGACCACATTTAGCAGTAAGCATGAGTTTAGCCTTCCATGTAGAAACCAGATACATGAAACTGTAGGGGAAAAAAAAAAAAAGCTTCCTATTGTTTGAAAATGCCAGTTTAATGTAAGATCATAAAAATGGGTAGGTTTTTGCATAAATGAACTGGCTGTACAAGAGTACTCCCTTTCACAGTATTGCTTTTTACTTCATATGCAAGTTATTGATGATGCTGTAGGATTTAACTGTTAACAGCACTAAAAGGGAACTATTGATGGGAAGATATTGAGAGGAAGAGACAGAAAAAGGAAAAAGGAATGTAAGTAAGGCAATTTTTCTTAAAAGTACAGTGAGCTTAATGGTGTTCTAGGAAGACAAGATAAAAACAATGGACTCAATGCTGAGCTCCTTCTGGGTGGATCTAATAATCAATACCTTGGTCGCTATATTGGTACTCTCTGGGGTAGTCATCCTGGTACTTGCCATACTACTCATCGGGATATTCTGCCTAGTAACCACTGTCACTGATTTCCGAACCATTTGTTCCTGTTCCTTGGCTTTCGTTGTGAATGACAGGTTCTGTCGGAGCAGCACAGTATTTGGGATCATATACTTGCTGCCCAAGCCCATACACGCTCATTCCTTTCTGGGAAGCGACTTTGTTGGTACCCGTCTGTAGAGAAATTGTCGAGTTGTCCACTGGCTGTAATATTAGCTTCAGATCACAGATGTCACTTCTGGTACCTGGTGCTAACATCCCTGCCTGGCTGGCTCCTTTGTTAGTGCCCATCTGTAGACTAACTGTGGTCTGGTCAGAAGGTTTGTCACTTTGCATTTTGGGATCATAAAGATGCCTCCTAGTCCCATAAGCTGTCATACCTGCCTGGCTGGCACATTTCTTGGTTCCCATCTGTAGACCAATTACACTTTGGCCAGCTTTTAATTTCCCTTCATCAAAACGTCTTGTTTGTGTTTCTGCATACTTAACTCCAACGTCAGTGGTTGCATGGAATCCTTTTGTTTTAGCCAGACCTGCTAGAGCCATCAGAGTCATCTGAACCTGGGTCATGTTTCCAGTCTCAGACAGATCATTTGCTTCAAGTATGTCATGTGGCTTCATTCCATAAGCCTGAATAGCTTTAATAAAGTCGCCAATATTCTCCAACTGTGGCCAGTTTAATGAGGACTCGTTGACCTTCACTGAGCCTGGCTGTAGCTTGTTTCTGAGTTCGCAGAAGATGATGCCATCCTTTAGGCCCAGCTGGAAGTTGGTGCCAATGCTCATGCCTGTCACCTCTTCTATCCAATTGTGAAGATCATCTTCTGCCTGATGATCATACTTGGAAGCGATCTTGTTCTTGACCTCAGCCGAGAGCCCATAGGAAGGGCCCTTGTTGAAGAGGGTCGTGGTGGTTCAGGCGGTGGGAAGAGGCTGTGCTGGGTCCCGCATCTCTCCCTGCCCCTGGCCCCGAGGAGTGGCCGCCTTGGGGGATGCTCGGAGCTGGCTCCTCTGGGCGGTGCAGGAGATGGTCATGGCCTTGGGGCGTGGATGGTGCCTGGGCGACTGGGTCCGACTCGGTGCCACAGAGCCTCGGGGTCCGCTCCGAAGCGCCTGGCTCCTTGATCGCTGCCTCACTCTTTCTTGTTTTTTGAGACAGAGGCTCTTTCTGTTGCCCAGGCTGGAGTGTAGTGGCACAATCTTGTCTCACTGCAACCTCTCCCTCCTGGGTTCAAGCAGTTCTCCTGTCTGTCTCCTGAGTAGCTGGGATTACAGGTACTCGCCACCACACCTAGCTAATTTTTATATTTTTAGTAGAGAGGGGGTTTCACCATATTTGCCAGGCTGGTCTCGAATTCCTGACCTCAGGTGATTCACCTGCCTCCGCCTTCCAAAGTGCTGGGATCACAGACGTGAGCCACTGCTCCCACCTTCATTTTCTTAAAGAATTCACCAACCCAGAATGGGGCTTAGTTTCCTCTTTGTCTCTTTCAAGACTCATTTGAAAATAGCACTGGTACATCGTGTGATCTGGCAATTGCATTGCGAGGTGTGTGCCTAAAAGAGTTGAAAGCAGGGACTGGAATAGATGTTTGTATAGCCGTGCTAAGGCAGTATTATTTGCAATGGTCAACATGTAGAAGCAGCCCAAGTGTCCATGGCCAGGTGACTAGAGAAACAAATGTGGTACATACATACAGTGGAATATTATTCAGCCTTAAGGGGGAAGGGAATTTTGACACATGCTGCCATGAAGACATTTTGCTAATGAAATAAGTCACAAGAGGATAAGCACTATGTGATTCCACTGATAGACGGTAGCTAGAGTTGTCTAATTCATAGAAACAGAAAGTAAAATGGTAGTTGCCTAGGGGCTAGAGGAGGGGAAATTATGAGTACAGAGTTTTAGTTTGGGAAGGCGAACGAAGCTCTGAGATGGATGGTGGTGATGGTGTGAATATACTTAACACCACTGAGCTGTTTACCTAAAAATTGTTAAAATAGTAAATTTTATGTGTGTTTTTATCACAATGAAAAAAAGATCGAAGAAAAAAGATGTGACCTCCAGATAAAGCCAGTGGCTTGAAAGGCCTAAAGAGAAGCACTGTTGGGAAGGGAACTCTGGATGTGCATGGATACTTGAATGAGATGGTAAGGTCTGGGGTGAGGAATACTGGCCTGAGCCCTGTCTCATCTAGCTCTGTCATTAACCAGCTCTGTGATCCCTCATTGGACTTAGTTTTCTCATCAGTAATGTCAGGAGGTAAGCTGGCTGGTACTCAACCTTCCTATCCTAGAATTCTGTGAGTCTATGATTAAGTCCTTAGCAAATAATTAATTATTTAGGAACAACTGCCTGTGTGAGGATAAGAAGGCAGACACGTTTATGAGGGCAGCCCGAGTCTCAAGAATCTGCCCTGGGCCAGGTGTGGTGGCTCACACCTATAATCCCAGCACTTTGGGAGGCCGAGGCGGGTGAATCATGAGGTTAGGAGTTTGAAACCAGCCTGGCCAACATGGTGAGACCCTGTCTCTACTAAAAACACAAAAAATTAGCTGGGCGTGGTAGAGGGTGCCTGTAATCCCAGCTACCGAGGCTGAGGCAGGAGAATCGCTTGAACCCAGGAGGCAGAGGGAGCCAAGATCGCACTGCTGCACTCCAGCCGAGGGGACAATGCGAGATGCCTTCTCAAAAACAAAAATGTTTCTTAGTGCCTCAGCAGGGGACTGTTCCTCTCAGGTTTTCCTTATTTTCAGCAACCCATATAAAAGAGTCTCTTACAGCTAGGCCAATGTGTCAATTATATCAAAGTTGTTTCTTTTTGGTTTGGAGCATGCAATTTGGTACCAAGTTAGTATGTCCCCTAAGGTTTTATGTAGGCTCATGTTAGCAGAGCTTTGCTTTCATTACGCACACACAGACTGTCAGGTTGAAACCCTCAGTGCCATTGTGGTCAGCATGTGGATATGTTGGGTGAGAGGAGGTATAGACAGCTTAGCGTGAAAAGTAGAGACCATTTTACTGGGCAAGGTGCTTTACATGGACTATCACTGATCCCCCAACACCCCTCTGGTGGTAGCCTTATTCCTCAGGAGAAGAGACTCATGTTCAGACAGATTGTCACTCTCCCAAGGCCACCAGTGAGACAGGTGACAAACCTTAGATGTGAACTTAACATCAATCTTAACTGCAAAACTTGTATTCTTGGCTGGGTGCAGTGGCTCACGCCTGTAATCCCAGCACTTTGGGAGGCCGAAGCCGGCGGATCACCTGAGGTCAGCAGTTCAAGACCAGGCTGGCCAACATGGTGAAACCCCATCTCTACTAAAAATACAAAAAAATTAGCCGGATGTGGTGGCGTGTGCCCTGTAATCCCAGCTACTTGGGAGGCTGAAGCAGGAGCATTGCTTGAATCTGGGAAGCGGAGGTTGAGGTGAGCTGAGATTGCGCCATTGCACTCCAGCCTGGGCGATAAAGTGAAACTCCGTCTTAAAAAACAGCAACAACAAAAAAAACCTAACTTGTATTCTTTCTGCCACACCACACCTTTTTCCCCCTGCAGAATGCGCTGGAGTACAAACACTCCTTAATATAGAAAGCCATTGTAATTGTGCAGTTTGATAATTCAAGAAGACTATAATAGAATCCGTAGCCAGCCACGTTTGTAACTACCCCTGTAATGTGCTGAGATCGGAATCGTTTGAAGATGTTGAGCCATGTTTGTGATCAGCATAACCAGAGTGTTGAGCACCCCTTGTGTGCCATTGTGTGCTAAAGCAGCAGAATATCCTGGCTGAGATGGAAGAGGAAGAGCTGCGGGCTGCTCGCGAGAGGGCCTTGTGTGCTGTGGGAACTGTCATGGGAGTCCAGTACTGCTGCTACTTTGCAGGCCTCTCTCTGTGGTACCTTTGGGGAATGCTGATGGTGTGACCAGCTAGTCTCATTTTGATTGCACTGGCATGTTTTTAAGTAGTAGTGGCTCTTAATCTTTTTAACTTCTACTCTAATTTTGTATGGAATAGGTCTTGGGGTTTATTTTCCTTTCCTATTCCACTAGTCATTCAGTTAGACTTTAACAAGTCAGAAGAGGAAGTATTAATAGAAAGAATACTCCTCGAAATTACTAATCGAGGGTGGGTCCCCTTTCTGTACCCCCTTCCCCATCAAATTTTTTGCTAAGGCTGATGTAGTATCTGACACATAATTGGTGCTCCATGGATAAATGCATGTGTAGATGAAAAAGCTTGCAGTTTTTAGAGAATCATTGTTTATATCCTTGGTAACCTTTATGCTAAATAAATATGTATGCAATCTGTTTTTAACCCTTTTTTTTTTGGGGGGGGGGGAGTCAGAGTCAATCTGTCACCCAGGCTGGAGTGCAGTGGCATGCTCTCAACTCACTGCAACCTCTGCCTCCTGGGTTCAAGCGCTTCTAGTGCTTCTGGCTTCTGAGTAGCTGGGACTATAGGTACCTGCCACCACACTGGGCAAAAATTTTTTTTTTTTAAGACAGAGTCTCACTGTATCCCCCAGGCTGGAGTCCAGTGATGCAGTCTCAGCTCACTGTAACCTCTGCCTCCCGGGTTCAAGCGATTCTCCTGCCTCAGCCTCCTGAGTAGCTGGGACTACAGGTGTGCTAATTTTTGTGTGTTTAGTAGAGAAGGGGTTTTGCCATGTTGGCCAGACTAATCTCAAACTCTTGGCCTCAGGAGATCCACCTGTCTCAGCCTCCCAAAGTGCTGGAATTACAGGTGTGACCCACCACGCCCGGCCCTGTTTTTAAACTGTTTGTATTGAAGAGAAAAGCAGGTACTCAATTTCAAAACTAGTTGGACTTTTATTCTTTACAGCTCCTGTTTTAGAGGGGTCATAATTTGATGTTATCTGAACCCATTAAGTAATAATTTTTTTTTTTTGAGACAGATTCTTGCTCTGTTGCCAGGCTGGAGTGCAGTGGCGTGATCTTGGCTCACTGCACTCTCTGTCTCCCAGGTTCAAGCGATTCCCCTACTTTAGCCTCCTGAGTAGCTGGGACTACGGGCGCACGCCACCACACTCAGCTAATTTTTTCTATTGTAGTAGAGACGGGGTTTCACGATGTTGGCCAGGATAGTCTCTATCTCCTGACCTCGTGATAACACCCGCCTCGGCCTCCCAAAATGCTGGGATTACAGGCGTGTGTCACTGCCCCCAGTCATAATCATCTACTTTTAAACAGGATTTGCTATAGTTTGACGATTTGTCTATGATCATGTATTCAAGCAGATGGCAGTAACAGTAATATCTTTAGTAAGATGGACTTCAGTATGAGACGATGCTTCTGGATTTAGTGAGGTTCAGAAATAAAGGTACAGCCCCTCTTGTCTTCAAATACTTGAATGATCCATGCCATGTATAGGCATATTGCACCTCCCATGGTTCCTTTCCGTATTTTACCATCCTAGGGTAGTCCCCACTGTCACAGCTCCCTTTATTCTCCTTCCCTCCACCTCTGCCTTAGCAGAGCTGTAATAGAAGTGTGATATTGTGCTGGCCTAGAGCCAGAACCGGAGCAAAACTATTTTATAAAATGCAAAACTGTTTTTAGATGAGTTGTAATGGCTGCCCCATTCTCCTCACAATAACTACTGTTCTTGGCCTCTGTAAATAGAACTGCTAGTTTGTTCTTCAAAACTATGTAAAGCTGCTTACCTTTTCTTATCAGTAACTGCCAGAATTGCTAGCCTTTGCTTACCGGCAATTGCCAGACTAAGCAGCCCAAGCTAGTTCCATCCTGGCTCCTGTGACTTGTAATAAGTAACTAAGGTCTGTGATTTCCACCTTAACCAGATAATGTGTAAACAAATGTTTATCTTGACTTCTGTAAACCACTTAAGTAACAAACGGAATGACAAAAGTCCCCT